GAGAGGAGAGGAGAGGAGAGGAGAGGAGAGGAGAGGAGAGGAGAGGAGAGGAGAGGAGAGGAGAGGAGAGGAGAGGAGAGGAGAGGAGAGGAGAGGAGAGGAGAGGAGAGGAGAGGAGAGGAGAGGAGAGGAGAGGAGAGGAGAGGAGAGGAGAGGAGAGGAGAGGAGAGGAGAGGAGAGGAGAGGAGGTGTTCAAGAACTGTGTGGATGTGGCACTGAGGGACGTGGTCAGTGGGCATGGTGGTCCCCACCATGTGCTGATGGTTGGATGAGATGATCTTAGTAGTCTTGTCCAACCTTAATGATTCAGTGATTCTATCTGCACATTGCATATAGGAGTTGTGCATTCCTGTTTATCACAAGTGTGCATAAATACATGCATTGTAGCAGATGCAAGGATTGTTTCTGACTCACACGATCTGCATCCATTGCCTTCCTATGGCCTCCTCAGTGGCCTGCAGCCTAAAGCTCATCCCAGGTGTACTTCTTCAAGGTCAACTCTCATGCAGCTGAGAACCAAAGTTATTGTCCATTCCATCACCACCTATGAGTGCTTTTTCCACATTACTCCAAGTTTCAAGCATCATCTCTCTCTGTGCATAATGCTGTGCTGCAGCAAATCCCCATTCTTCAGTATCAGTGTGCTCTTTAATTGGCTTAACTTCGACAATCACTTGACTAAAATCATTTGGCTTTCTTTGAAAAGAAAGCTGCAGACTGTAGCTAAAGTGACACAAGAGGAATGCATACCTAAGGCTGCATGAAACACCCATGATGCAGATAATTTGTAAAGCAGCACAATACCCTGTAGATAGTTACCTCGTTATATCAAAGCTGGTCACTTTGTAACCAACCTTGTGTGCAACACCATCCTCTATAGGGTTCCATATAATACGAAGCAATACAAGGCACCAAAGCTCATCAGTGTACCACATATATCATCGTGGCTCACAAAGCCACTCAGATGAATGTTATCTTGTGAAACCCAGAGATATATTGATTCGAGTGCATGGCTATTGTAGAAAATCATTGCTGTTGGTGGAAGAAATGATTGATGGGCAAACATCTTGCCCAAGGTTAAACTGAGCGCGGTGTCTTTCCAAAAGAGGTCACTTTCTCAGTTCAGGAGACAGAATTTTTGAGCAAAAAGTATAAAAAAAAAAAAAAAAAAAAAAAAAAAAAAAAGTTGTTAAAGGTATAACACTATTTCTTTTCTAAGCCAGCAGTGAGAGGTGATTGGCATTTTCCCAGTAGCAATCTGTATATCGAGTCTAGGTTGTTTTGAGCACTAAGATGTTGTTGCCTGGTGCTGCAGCACTTTTCTGCTGAGCTTGAGACTACTGCATCATTACTGGAAGTTTGTACCTTCAAACGAGCACTCATGTTTATTGATACACCTGTGGTGCTGCTTTCTGGTGTTTGCCAGTTAAAAATGCAGTCACTGCCGCACACTGCTTTGAAACTGCGGTGTTTTCCAGGGTTCTTTCCACTAACAATGACATTACTCTCTTTAAACTGTCTTTTTCTTGGTTTGGAGGAACACTGGTCATCTCCTGCCTGCCTGCCTGGTCCTCAGAGCATTTTGCACACCCTGTGCCTTGCTGGGGGTAGGCAAATAAGACTCCGTCTCATTTTTTATATGGTTCCACAATTCACTCTGTGTTGCTGAGCACTCTGTTTCATCTGTGTGACCTCTACATTTATGCTCACTGTTTTCTAAGCCCAGTGGCTTCTATCTGAAATGACACAGAAATCTTTCTGCCCTGAAGCATCACTGAGTTCTAAAGCATCTGCGTTCCTGTATTACTATTGTACATTTGGACTGAAATTAAGTACAGAGAGATCCATGAATAATAGAGGAACACCTCTGCTTTTGTATCTCATCACAGCAGCTGTTGTGAGAACGATTACCTTCATTAAAATGCAAGAGATACCATCAGTATCGCCATTCAAGGATATCCAGAAATTTCAAGTATAGAAAAAAAATGTATATATAGAATTTAAAAGGTTGGTTTTGGTTTCTTTCCTTTGTTAGGCTTCATGTTTTCAATATTTTCAACACAAGTACGTTTTTAAATGCAGTGCAAGCTTATATAATCACAGGACCCTTGAAGCTGGATTTTCAAGGGGAAAAAAAAACCCACCAAGTATAATGAGACATGATAAAATAGTGAGACCTGGTGTCAGCATAGCTGAGCAGATAAACAGGAGAGCTGTATGCAGACCAGGGACTGAAGGAGCCAACACTTCATCTTCTGCAGAGAAGAACCATGAAGATTCTAATGATCCACTGAAACAACTTGTGGGATCCAGAACATGGCAGCACTGAACTGTGCTCCCGACGTACAGAGAGGTGTCATATGGATGCCCCATCCCTGGAGGTATTCAAAGCCAGGCTGGATGTGGCTCTGAGCAGCCTGGTCTGGTGGTTGGCGACCCTGCACATAGCAGGGGGATTGGAACTAGATGATCATTGTGGAGCTTTTCAACCCAGGCCATTCTGTGATTCTATGATTCTCACTTAATGAGTATTTCACAAAAAGTCCAGACCATACTGCTCTGGTAGCTGGCTGTAGGGTGGAGGTGCTTGGCACTCTGAGCTGTTCCTGCTCCCTGTTCCAAGAAAACCACAGGACTTGTGTTTTATTTCCAAACAGAAGGAAGAACATTGAATTCTTTTAACATTTCTTTAATGTTTCAAAACTTTTTTTCTGAACTCGTATTTCTGAGCTATTTTTGACTTGAGTTTGCTCCCTTCCCTTATGGTATACATCCAGAATGTGTGCATACTGCCTCAGAAAAAAAAAAAAAAAAAAAAAAAAAAGGCTGCAAATGATGAAAATGTGAAGTCTTAAACGTCTTAATTTCAGCAGCTTGGCTTTAGCATCCCCCTCTCTACATGTCATAATTCACTTAATGGTTTATGCACACTTTTGCTATTTCGCCCAAGCTCTAGACTTATATATGAGGTGGCTGCTGCTGCCTGCCATGGTCTTCCAGTTCTCTTATGTCCCCAACCAAAACCTCACCTAGAAATCATTATCTCCCCCCTCTTGCTTCACCAGAAATCTTCATCCCATTCTTCCACCTGACTCTCTCCTTTCCTGCCAGCACTGCCCCTTTCTACTTTTTGGAGCCAATCCAGTGTTTACTAAACTAGTGGGACTGTATTCAGGTTTGCTATTGCTGAGTAAGTTGTCATAGAACCATAGGATATCCAAGTCAGAAGGAATCCACAAGGGATCCAGCTCCTGGCCCCACACAGGACAGCTCAACATTCAAACCCTACATCTGGGAGAGATATCCAAACTCTCCTTGAACTCCAGCAGCTTGGAGCCATGCCCACAGCCCTGTGCACCCCATTCCATGCCCACCACGCTGTGATGCAGCCCCTTTCCCTGACCCTGACTGGGAAGTTGTGATGTTCTAGATGGCCAAGCAAGGAAGCTATGTCCAGAAGTGGGAATGGAGTGAAACAGGTGAAACTAACCTTCTCCATTTTGCCGAAGAGGGCTATGTTGTTCACTCCACCCCAAGGAACTGCCATGATGCGGACCCTGTTCACAGCCACCAAGCCCCAGCCCAGGGGCCAGGCACTGCAGAAAGGAGCCTTAGAAGTATCTAGAGCATCTCAGCTCTGAGCGTAGCTCTACGGTTATCAGAGCAGAAGCTTGTCCTCCTGATGTTACCACACGTGATCTTATACCCCTATGGTTTGCTCTACTGCCTCCTTCCCCAGCTCTGCCTCATCTCTGTGCTTTCAGCTTTACCAGCACCTGGCCAAACCCTCCCTACAAAGGAGACCATGCCTCTGCCCATTTGATGCTGGATTACATTTCTGATTTACAACTCAGTTTGTTTCCAGGAGAGTGCACCTTTTGTAGCCTTCTCGTGTTGCTGCTGAGTAAGAGATCATGGCATCTTTAATCTTCCAGCATGAAATCCCTCTGCACCCTGCCACGCTTAGATGCCAACGGCTTCAAAGGCAGCCCTAGCCAACCTAGCATCACAACGCTGCCGACTGTGGGTGCTTGAGGGGATATTTTTGCCTGTTGTGATCATTTAAGTACTTGTCCTGAAAATATTCATGCACATATTCCATTTGAATCATAAGAGCACTGTGGAATCCCATTCATCTCGGAAAAATTAAATTCCAGTCTGCTGCTGCTATGCCTGGATCTTGCAAAATGTTGTAGTACAGAAATATAG